GACTTTCTGTACGTTGCACATGGATGTATTATCAATTCTAATGGTGCATCTTTGCCCATCAGTAGACCAGAGAAAATACTGGAAGAACGTATGTGGATACACCAGTAGATAAATCCAAATCCACTGATTTGTAAACCATGAATCTCTCTTTCTCAACTCATTTGTTAAATGTTTTTCTCTGTAAGACTTTGTCCTTTGTCTTGTAACATACTTCTTCTCTATCCCCCTATAGCTTGACACTGTGTGAGTATGTTTTCCTATATCCCCTCTGTTTACTTCTTTCAAGCATCGAGGCAACAATAAATATAGATTCTTACTCAAATCCAATTAAAGTATATTTATGTACCCTCCTCCACATGTATATGGCACTCTGCTAGGATCTGTAATATAAAGAGACATAATAAACAATATTGCTGTTCAAAGGTCAGGAAAAAAAGGTGAGGTATCAAGCTTCCCCCTTTATCGTTCAGTCAAGTTACACTATACCCCTCTGGGTCAGGTAATATGATGGTGCCTTGTGAGCACAAAAGCTTACAAAGAGAGCACAGAGAGGTGGGTGGCTATATAAAGACAGCCTGGTGAGACACTGGGGAAGGCACAGATGTTCTTCCAAAATACACACATGGTGCAGTTCAACAAGCAATTTCATAGATGCCCGTTCTTCTTGCCCTGGGAGAGGTGGGAATTATGGGTCCCATTTCAGAGATAAGCAAATGGGACTCAAAGAAGGGAAGTGATTTGCCGTGAATGGGAAAGGCAGAAGTCTGAATCCACATAGGGTAAGTAATTTTTTAGACCATGGACCTAGCAGATGACTTGGTGTAAGGGGAAAACATCCTTGAATGAATAGGGAAAGACCACAGTTTAACTCTGGATTACATGCTACCCTACACTGCCCATGGCTCCTTCTTTTCTTTCCACTGTTTCAAAAGAGGAGGGAGAAAAAACAAAATTCAGCACCAAGAGGGAGTTCTTGAGAAATAGCCTACACTGTAGCATTGTCCTGTGGGCTGTGCTCAGGTGACAGGGATTTGTAAAGGGACATGCCTTGCCTCTTTGGAAGCCAAGCCATTTTAGTTGCTGCCCAAGAAGTCCCAGAATGAAGCCCTCTGGTTCTGCTCCACAGCAAATAGTGTCACTGTGAAGTTTCACTGTAATAAAGAGATGATTCAGTAATTACTCAGAGAAGCCATAGCATTTCAGAGATGTTCTCCTGGACCACAGCATGTACGGTGATGCGAGCTTCGTCTTCCTGCCGCAAGCCTTTGCATTTAGTGTCAGATCTGAGTAATAAGTGACATATTAAATGACTGGTGACAATGTTTACCCTTCCTTCCTCCCCACCGCCATCACACTCAAAAGTCAGCCAACATGACAAGATTTCAATACCAAAACCTTCACCGAGAACAGTGAAACTTTGATTCTCTCCGTTTTCCCACAAGTCTCAAATAGATACTGGAAAGTTTTTTTCTTTGTCTCCAGTGTAATCGAAAAATATGTTTTTATTTAGAAGCAATCCAAAAGTCAAGCCTATTTTTAGAATGTGAGATTACAGAGGAGTATTTTTCCAGAAGGTTCTTAAGTATCAATTATGTAAGAGCCACAAAAGGGTTTTATTTGCTACCATCACCCTGGGGCTTTGAAGGGAGTCTAGGGGTTAAGATTCCTGGAAATTGAGAAGCCTACATTTTTTGAAAGAATAAACCCAATTTTCAGCTCAAAAAGTACGGGCAAGAGATGAGTTTACAACTAAAATGATGCCCTAGGACTTCCCTAGTGGCGCAGTAGTTAAGAATCTGCCTGGCAATGCAGGGGACACAGGTTCGAGCCCTGGTCCAGGAAGATCCCACATGCCACGGAGCAACTAAGCCCGTGCGCCACAACTAAGAGTGGCCCCCGCTCGCCGCAACTAGAGAAAGCCTGCGTGCAGCAACGAAGACCCAACACAGCCAATAATAAATAGATAAATAAATAAATAAATAAATAAAATGATGCCCTTCCACAAGCTGCTTAGAAGAGAAACATAAATCTCTCTTAATATTTATTATATAGGTCATAGACATGATGTTGTATATCAAATCAGTATTTGCTAAACTGCATTTATTCACATAACATTGTTGGATCTGCCTAGTATCTCTACTATTATTCCCTTAATATTTTTCTTTAAACCATCTCATTATTTTACACTAAAACAAATGTACCACAAATGGAAAAGGTCAACATAAAAAAACAGAATGAAAACAAAATAATGTGCTGAAATCCTGGTATGATGGTGTCACCTGCAAAGACTCTGAGCCTACAGGCTATTTTTTTTTTGTTGTTATAAAGGGAGATTGTCAACTTTCTGGAGGCATTACAGAGTGGGTAACACCTAGCAGAGACTTCTCTCTCCCCTTATGTAATTGAAGACTCAAAAGGGAGTTGCTCTCTCATGATACGATTCAATGCTATATAGTGTCATGTCCATGTTTGACCTTAAATCATTGCACTTCCCACTGGGGGACTGCGTCCCACACTTTGGGAAAATATGAATGCCTGTGCCTAGCAAACGTCCCAAGGCCTCTAACTGTCTGTGAGTTGAATGGGGGTTGGCTGATCTAAGCTGGACTTAGCTTGACTGCTTGCCTGGAGTGACTCTGATCTATGTCTCTCATTCTTTTTCTGGGACTAATGGGCTAATGGGGACATAGTCTGTCAGGGCAGAGGCAGAAGAGCAAGAGCCGAAGTGGCAACATGCTAGGAATTCTAATCTCAAAACTCTAATACTGTCCCTTTTGCCCACAAACCATTGACCAAAGCAAGTCACTTAGTCAAATCCAAAATCAAACACAGGGAAATACACTTTGCTTATGATGATGCCATGGAGAACGTATGACCATTGGCAGGCGTAAAGAATTGGGGCCAACAGTGCCATCTACCACACTCATTTGACCTTTCTGGAAACCTTCATTTGACTCTCTCTTACAATATCAAATGCAACATTCTCAGAAGTAAATTTTAGTTCTTACATTTATGGTCAACTGATTCTTGACAACAGTGCCAAGACCAAGACAATTCAATGTGGAAAGAATAGTCTTTTAAACAAATGGTGCTGGGATCACTAGACATCCACATGCAAAACAATGAAGTTGGGACTCCTACTTTAATACTAACTCAAAATGGACCAAAGACCTACATGTAAGAGTTAAAACTATAAAATCTTAGAAGAAAATATGGTAGTAAATCTTCATGACCTTGGGTTAGGTGGTTGATTTGTTAGATATGACATCAAAAACACAAGCAAAAAAAGAAAAAATGGTTAAGTGAACTTCATCAAAATTAAAAACTTTTGTGCTTCAAAGGACACCAGCAAGAACGTGAAAAGACACATTGAGAATGCAAGAAAAACAGAATGCGAGAAATATCTGCAAACCATATATCTGATAACGGTCTAATATCCAGAATATATAAAGAACTCTTAAAATTCAACCATAAAAAGACAGTCCAATTTTTAAATGGGCAAAGGAGCTTAACAGACATTTCTCCAATCAAGGTATACAAATGGCCAATAAATACATGAAAAGATGCTCAATATCATTAGCCATTAGGAAAATACAGATCTAAACCACAATGAGATACTATTCGCACTCACTAAGATGGCTAAAGTAAAAAAGACAGACAATAACAAGTGTTGTTGAGGATATAAAGCAAATGAAACCCTCATACATTGCTGAGGGTAGTGCCACCTTGGAAACAGTCTGGCAATTTCTGAAAAGTTAAAATTGAGTTACTATCTGACTCAGCAAATTCATTTCCAGGTATATATACCCAAGATAAAAGAAAACACATGTCCATAAGAAAACTTGCACACAAATATTCATAGCAGTATTTTTTGAGCCAAGAAGTGAAGAGAACCTAAATGTCCATCAATAGATGAACAAAATGTGGTATATCCATACAATGGAATATTATTTGGCAACACAAAGGAATGAAGAACTGATATATGGTACAACCTGGAGGTACCTTGAAAAAGTAAATCATATTGTATGATCTAATTTATATGAAACGTCCAGAAGAGGCAAATCCATAGAGACAGAAAGCAGATTAGTGGTTGCCAGGGGCTGGAAGGAAGGGGGAATGGAGAGTGACTGCTAATGGACATGGAGTTTCCTTTTGGGGTGATGCAAATATTCAGGAATTGAACAGTGTTGCACAATTCTATGAATATACTAAAAACTACTGACTTGTACACCTTAGAAGTATAAATTTTATGGCATATGAATTATATTTCAATAAGCTATCATTTTAAAAACTGAATTTTCAAAACAATCCAGTTAGAAAGTGGGCAAAAGACATGAAGAGACGTTTCACCAAAGAGGATGTATGAGTGACTAATAAGCATGTAAAAAGATGTTCAGAGCTTCCCTGGTGGCGCAGTGGTTGAGAATCTACCTGCCGATGCAGGGGACGCGGGTTCGTGCCCTGGTCTGGGAGGATCCCACATGCCGCAGAGCAACTAGGCCCGTGAGCCACAACTACTGAGCCTGCGCGTCTGGAGCCTGTGCTCCGCAACAAGAGAGGCTGCGACAGTGAGAGGCCCGCGCACCGCGATGAAGAGTGGCCCCCGCTCACCGCAACTAGAGAAAGCCCTCGCACTGAAACGAAGACCCAACACAGCAAAAATAAATTAATAAACTCCTACCCCCAGCATCTTCTTAAAAAAAAAAAGATGTTCAACACTAGTAGCTATTAGGGAAATGCACATTAAAATCACAATAAGATACCAAGACACACCTATTAGAATGACTAAAATAAAAAACAGTGAAAAAAACGCTGGAGAAGAGGAGCGTTGCTGGTGGAAATGTAAAATGGCACAGTCCCTCTGGAAAATAACCTGGTCAACAGCAGAGCCCATTCACAATTCCCGAGAAATAAAAATAGAATCTGGGTAATAAAATAAAGTCTAACCTTTTTTTCTTTTTCTTTGTGTCCCGTCTAGCTTCACTTTCTCACAGGATACCATGGGCAGAGAATTCCACCCGGAACTTCAGACCAGAGTTCCTAGTGCGAAAGGGCTTCGCCCGACACTGCACCTCGGGGCCATGCAGAAGCGCGGCACGACACTTCAATTCAAGATGGCTGCAGCAGGCCGCGTGCAGAGACGCTGCACCCGGCACTGTGATCTGGAGCGTGAGTAGCGTAACTGCGCGAGACCCAGGAGAACTCCGGCCCCGCCCCCCGCTGAAGAGACACACCCACCCCCTGCAAAGCAGCCCCGCCCTGATGGCCTGGGGAGCGGGAGCGGGCGGAGCGCAGACTTTACAGCGGGAGCTGGCACCTCTGCATTCTTTGATCAAAGAATAAAACTGGGGCTTCCCTGGTGGCGCAGTGGTTGGGAGTCCGCCGGCCGATGCTGGGGACGCGGGTTAGTGCCCCGGTCCGGGAGGATCCCGCATGCCGCGGAGCGGCTGGGATCGTGAGCCGTGGCCGCTGAGCCTGCGCGTCTGGAGCCTGTGCTCCACAGCGGGAGAGGCCGCAGCGGTGAGAGGCCCGCCTACCGCAAAAAAAAAAAAAAAGAATAAAACTTTCCTTTGCTTCTGAACCCAGGTCAGTCTAGTTATATTGGCGCGAGCGACACTAGGCAGGAAGACCCCTGTTGGGGACCAACTTGGAAGGGCTGGTAACAATTCGGCATTTTCTTTTAGAACTAAAAATGGCTTTACCATACAATCTAGAAATTGTACTCTTGGGCATTTACCCCACAGAAGTGAAAACTTATTTTCACCCAGAAACTAGTACATGAATGTTCAGAGTAGCTTTATGTATTTTTCCATAAATTTATTTATTTTATCTTTGGCTGCGTTGGGTCTTTGTTGCTGCGCACTGGCTTTTCTCTACCTGCAGCGAGCGAGGGCTACTCTTTGTTGGGGTGCACGGGCTTCTCATTGCGGTGGCTTCTCTTGTTGTGGAGCACGGGCTCTAGGCGCGCGGGGTTCAGTAGCTGTGGCTCGCGGGCTCTAGAGCACAGGTTCAGTAGTTGTGGCACACGGGCTTAGCTGCTCCGTGGCATGTGGGATCTTCCCGGACCAGGGCTCGAACCTGTGTCCCCTGCATTGGCAGGCGGATTCTTAGCTACTGTGCCACCAGGGAAGCCCCGAGAGTAGCTTTCTTTGTAATGGCCAAAAACTAGAAACCATTCAAATATCTGTCACTGGATGACTGGTTAAACAAACTGTGGTACATGCATACTGTGGATTATGAGTCAGCAAAGAAAAGGAATAAACTATTGATACATGCTAGAACTTGGATTACTCTCAAGGAAATTATGCTGAGTGAAAAAAAAAACTCAAAAAGAGGGGCTTCGGAGTGGCACATGCCTCGGAGTGGCTGGGCCCATGAGCCATGGCCGCTGAGCCTGCGCGTCCAGAGCCTGTGCTCCGCAACGGGAGAGGCCACAACAGTGAGAGGCCCGCGTACCTCAAAAAAAAAAGAAGAAGAAGAAACTCAAAAAGATACATTTTTTTGAGTTTTTTGAAAAAAAACTCAAAAAGATACAAAAAGATACATGTTTCCATTTGTGAACATTCATGAAATGACATAATTGTAGAAATGGGAAACAGATTAGTGGTTTCCAGGAGTTAGAGATGGTGGGGAAAGGGGGTGGTGTGGCTATAAAGAAGTAGCACATAAGGAACTTTGTGGGGATGGTAGTTAAGTGTCTTGGTTGTGGTGGCAGTTACATGAAGCCATATGTGATAAAACTGCATGCAGCTACACACATACACACATATGAGTACGTACGAAACTGGTGAATGGTCGAATGAGCTTAGTGGATTGCACCAATGTTAATTTTCCGGTTGTGATATCATTAGTGATACAAGACGCTAACATTGGGGGAGACTGGGTAAAGAATTCATAGAAACTCTCTGCACTTGAAGTTGAGACACAGATGTAGAGAACAAACATATGGACACCAAGGGGGGAAAGCTGCAGGTGCGTGTGTGTGTGTGTGTGATGAATTGGGCGATTGGGATTGACATGTATACGCTGATGTGTATAAAACTGATGACTAATAAGAACCTGCTGTATAAAAATATAAAATAAAATTTAAAAATTAAAAAATAAAGAAACTGCAAGTTTCTTTGCAACTTCCTGTGAATTTGTAATTATTTCAAAATAAAGTTGTTTTAAAAAACAAAAACAAAATACCTAAATTTATCCTTATCCAAAATGTACTCTTCCTGAATTCTCTAATTTCACATCCACAGGTGTGAAAGCATCAGCCCAGACTCACCCTTCACTCTCAGTATCAAATAATAATAGTAACAGGCCACATTTATTGAATGCTTCTCTACCAGGTACTACAGTCAGCCCTCCACATCCGAGGGCTTCACATCCACAGATTCGACCAACCCCAACAGAAAATACTCGGAGAAAAAAAAAAAAATTCCAGAAAGTTCTAAAAAGCAAAATTTGAATTTGCACCTCTCCAGCAACTATTTACATGGCATTTACATTGTATTAGGTATTATAAGTAATCTAGAGATGATTTAAAGTATACAGGAGGATGTGCTTAGGTTACATGCAAATACTACACCATTTTATATAAGCGACTTGAGCATCCTCAGATTTGGTATCCTTGGGGGTCCAATTCCCCCCGCAGATACTGAGGGACAACTATACACTTATGACATTCCATGGCTGGTCTAATGTATTCCTCACATCAACGCTATTATAATTCCCATTTTAAAGGTAAGGAGGGCTTCCCTGGTGGCGCAGTGGTTGAGAGTCCACCTGCCGATGCAAGGGGCACGGGTTCATGCCCCGGTCCGGGAGGATCCCACATGCCGCGGAGTGGCTGGGCCCGTGAGCCATGGCCGCTGAGCCTGCGCGTCCGGAGCCTGTGCTCCGCAACGGGAGAGGCCACGACAGTGAGAGGCCCGCATACCACAAAAAAAAAAAAAAAAAAGTAAGGAAACTGAGGATTAGAGGGGTAAATGACCTTGGCCAACGTCATACAGCAAGTTACCACAGCAGGTTTCTCATGCAGGCAGCCCAACTCCAGAGCCCATACCCTCTGGAATCACCAGATTCAAAATCCACCCACTTATCTTAGGCCAGTGCCTTAGTTCATTATTCTCTACCTGGACCAGGGATTAGTGCAGGAACCTGCTAACTAGACTCCTACCCCAGATCTAAGCTTGAATGGTAAACCACCCCAAACAGAAGACAATCTCCCAATTTCCCCACGCAAAGATTTCTTTTTAAGTATTTTGGCCAACCTGAATATATAAATGTTTTGTGCTATAGGTGAAATAACCAAACATCTATTTACAAGGATTCAATACAGGATGTGCGTATACAATGGCATATTATATATTATAAAATATATTAATTTAGAAATACCGCTATCCTCATTCTCCCGTCTTCTGAAACAATTTCATTCAAATGCTTCTCACATACCTCTAACATCAGTATCTTTACAATTTTCATCTAACACAGGTTTCCAGAGTATATTTTCATTTCTAAGTTATTTGAAAAATAGTCCTATTGAATCCATATATAATACTGTTCCTGAAAAGCTAAAAAAATACATTTATACAGCATCAAGAAAAGTTAGGTTTTTAAAATTTGTTCTGTAGGTCACTAGTTTTCAATGCCGGCTGCAAGTTAAAAATCATACTGTATTATAAACTTCAAAGTTGCTAAGAGGCTACATCTTAATTGTTCTCAACACAAAAAAGAAATAGTTATGTGATGCAATAAAGCTGTTAGCTAACACTACTATTGCATAGTTATCATACTGCAATATATAAATGTATCATACCAACACACTGTACATCTCAAACTTATACAACGTTATATGTCAATTATATCTCAATTTTTTTAAAGTGTGATGGGGGAAAATCATCTGGGGAGCTTTCCAAAACTACCAATGCCCAGAAATAGTGATTTTACTGGCCTATAGAGTGGGCACTGAGCGTGGCTTTTTTTTTTGCGGTACGCGGGCCTCACACAGTGTGGCCTCTCCCGTTGCGGAGCACAGGCTCCGGACGCGCAGGCTCGGCGGCCATGGCTCACGGGCCCAGCTGCTCCGCGGCACGTGGGATCTTCCCGGACCGGGACACGAATCTGTGTCCCCTGCATCGGCAGGCGGACTCTCAACCACTGCGCCACCAGGGAAGCCCTGAGCGTGGCATTTTTAAATGTTCCTCCCTAAGGGCAGCCTTTGCAGAGAATCACTGCTTAAGTGTGTAATTAGCCATCTCCACAATGTAACTTAGTAGTTCTCAGTCTTGATTACGTATAAGAATCACCTGGAAAGCTTTGTAAAACTACTGATGCCCAGGCTTCACCCACTGCTATCCCCAAGGATTCTAATTTATCTGGAGTGAGGCCTGAGGGTATTCCTATGTTTTAAAAAACATCTCAGATGAATCTCACTTGCAGCCAGAATTGAGAACCTTCAATATTACCACTTAGGAGTACTTCTTTACAACTGAGGTTTAAAAGACTGTTTTAACCACTGTCGAATACTTAGTACGGCTTAGGTCACATAGACCAATTGCTCTGTAACCATGGTAACAGATAATCACCAGAACTTGTTTAAACACATTTCATCTGTTAATAAACTTTAATCTTGATGACCATTCTCCTGAAAGTAACCACCTGAACCCCAATCCACCCCTCCAACAGAACATCCAAAACTGTGCTGAAGTTTTGCTGGCTTCTGTTCCTTTTGTATCAGGTGACCTCTAGAAGCATCCAAAGATAGCACTGATTGAGAACATTTTAACCTAATTTGGCTTCCCCAAATAGAAATTGGTTGTCCTAAATAAAGGAACTGAGAGTTCCCCAAAGGTGGGAGATTTTGTCAGGACTCAATTTTCCAGAAAGATAGCTTGGGAAGAGAATGCCACTTTATATTTGCACATATCATTAATAACAACCATTTCTTGAATGTTTACTATACCTAGGCACCGTGTTAAATGTTTACCTGACCTCATTTAATCCTAAAAATATCATTTAAAATTAAATAATTATTATTCCCACTTTTTAAAAATAACTTTATTTATTTATTTATTTTTAACTTTGGCTGCGTTGGGTCTTCGTTGCTGCGTGCAGGCTTTCTCTAGTTGCAGAGAGTGGGGGCTCCTCTTGTTGCAGAGCACAGGCTCTAGGCGCACGCGGGCT